ATGATCATATTAGTCACACCCGTTTTGTATATTATATACATATATTTTGTATGAAGAAAACTAATTTTTTTTCTAAAAAACAATAGATGATCGAAGTATGTAAAAAAGTGGGACTTTCTACTCCATCCGCGAATAGAGTTCATAAACGGGACTGTCTCAATGAAATCAGAATGTATGATCACATTAGTCACACCCGTTCTGTATATTATATACATACATTTTGTATGAAGGAAACTTATTTTTTTTTCTATACGCTATAACTGACATTGATGACAGAAACAAAGATAATGTCAGTCTGCTGTCTCATTAGGTGTGTATGAAATAGGCCTTTTTCTGTTCACTTTCCTCGGAGCTAACTTACCGATTTCTTTTTTTTTCTGTATAATTGAAATGACGAAGGACCGACGATCTGGTCAAGATCGATAGAAGACATCGGATGAGAGCAGCGTACGACCGTTCGTTGTGGAGATCTTTGAGCCTTTGTTCATCAGTGGACGTTTTCCGGGCTGAGATGATGATGATGATGATGGCGATGATGATAATGCTGATGATGGCGATGATGATGATGATGGCGATGATGATGATGATGATGATAATTGAAAAGTAAAACAAGGTGATAGCCAATCTGATGGGAGTGATAACCATTGTCAAAAGGGTATGGTTAGTGTTGGAGAGTATAGAGATATATACCACTCAAATTCAAAAACATGTAGAAAACTTTCGGCACCTTATAATTGATTTGACAGTAATATCATGTCAGATCAACCTCCTTTACCACGATGGACCGACTGGCCTGACTTCGTCCTCGACTGGTGCCCCGCCAGTGTATACCGTTAGCACAGCCTTAACATTTTAAACACCACATTAAAATATCTTATTTCTCACATAGGAATCGTCATTTTTTTATTGTTAATTACGTGTATTATTTTTTAATTATGTTTTTAGTGTACAATAATTTGAGGTAGACATTATTTAACCCTAGTTTTATTTAAAGTGCCCACGGATGATCTCCCGGTCCCAACGTGTAAATTTACTTTCGTTGCAGAGTGACCCACCGGTGAGCATGCGGTCTTTGAAGAGTTAAATACCATTTCATATAAATTCTTAAAAATTCTGTTCCGTTGCCTGTATATAGAACTTTTAATAATAATCTTCATTAGCTCATTTATTATTAGTATTATAATTTATATCTATAATCTAAATATATACATAATTAGGTAACTGATAATTGTTGCCTATTTATATAGTCACGAAAATAAGCAACAAACTTTAATTGCCTGTTATTTAGTTTACACAGCTTATTATTTATAGAGTTTATAAATAATACACCAATAAATAATTATATCTCATTTATAAAATACGGTCAGAGGCCGGGGAGTCTACCGGTTTAGCACACCGCTTTACAACCAAGGATCGCGGGTTCAATTCCTCGTATGATGCTAACTTTCTTATTCATGAGTAATGTGGTTGGTTGTGTGTGTCTGGGTGTTTTCTATATATATTATGTATGGATATAACGAAATATTATCATCATTGCCTTGTCTTTATCCCATAATTTGGGGTCAGCGCAGTATGTCATTCTCTTCCACTGCTCTCTATCGGTCGTCATATATGAACATACTCTTCTTTTCATATCATCTCTCACACAATCCACCCATCTTTTCTTAGGGCGTCCTTTCCCTTTATCCATATTATACACTTTCCATAAGACATGATCCTCGTTCCTCCGCATAACATGCCCATACCAGCTCAATTCGTTACCTCGCAACTTTTCTATAACCGGCGCAACTTTCAAACTTCCTCATATATACTCATTCCTTATTCTAACATTCGCATTTCCGCACATGCACACGCCTTTCGTCCATCCCCTTTACGGCCCAACATTCAGATCCATACAAAATGACAGGTCTTATGATAGCGATCTTATGATAGTCTTATAACGAAATATTAAGCAAACGAAATTGCAGCTAACATGCAGTAACAATAAGGATACACTCATAAACAAATTCAGTAAAAAAATCTTCTCTAAATTGCTTAAGAATAGAATTGAAAATCCTTTATATAAATTAATTTAATTTAAGCACTTTTGAATTATCCCTAGTTATCCTTCTTTTAATCTACCGCTCATTCGGAAAGCTGTCTCATCACAGAAAGAACGAGCAAGAAACTCGCGTGTTGCTCTTTTAAATAATCGTTGTAAGTTTAAATGTTTAAATCGAAACGTGTAAATACAAGATACCAACTAGGACTAATTTATTATAATGAAATATTAAATAGACAATAAGATTAAATCAGTCGTAGTGATTAGAGCAGACGAGTCTTTAGAAGCAGAATATTGAATCTTCTATTTATAACCGCTACGTTTGCACCGACACCTTTAAAGTCCATGTAAATAAACAAGTTTCAATGGAGCATTACAATTCTTCTTATTATTCAATCCTACAATCCCTTAATGGACAACGAAAAAGGAAAGGTAGCAATTTTTAAACGATATCCGACGCAATGCTCATCAATATTTTTTCATTCCAAAATATTCCCTTGATATAAAAGTCTTGAGAACCGGTAAGAAAATTCAACTGTTTATTTTACCTGTTTACAATCCTTAATTAATTCTCTCAGACAGACAAAAAACATGGAAACGTTTCAAAAACATATTAGTATTTTTTAATTATTAATACAGAAACTCCATTCAGTTTTGTGTAACGATTTTGTTTAGTGTAACGATTTAAAACACTAGTTTATTATATGAGGTGGGGGGTTCAATCCCGACACACTATAAACATTTGAATTAATAAGTATAGCTTTTTATATTAAGGGAATTCATACCCTCACGCTAGTACCTAAGTGGTCTCGGACAGTACGCTTTCAGAGGAGCGTCCTCCCACATACACTTAGATTTCAGAATGAACATGCCAAGGTTTTCTCACGAGACTACAGCATGAGGTTTTCTAGAAGGGTATATTAAGGTTTCTTAAACACCCCTGGTGTTGCAGGCATTCATAGGCCTTGCTTTACGGCTAACATTTACCATCAGATGGGCCGTATGCTTGTTAACCACCATAGTAGTAAAAAAAAATTGAAATATATACATTTACAAATAAAGTATTTAATTTACGTAATTATATCAGTTATATAATTCGCAATATATTAGCTATCAATAGTTTGTGTTTAGTTTTCTTCTAGCATTTGTCATTTTTTTTTAATCATCATCTCAGCCCGGAAGACTTCCACTGCTGGACATAGACCTCCCCCAAAGATCTCCACGGCGAGCGGTCCTGCGCTGCTCGCATCCATCACCTTCAAGCGATCGTGACCAAATCGTCAGTCCGGCTTGCTGGAAGTCTTCCCACGCTGCGTCTTCCGGTTCATGGTCGCCACTAGAAGACTTTGATAGAAGACCCTACGAGCTATGTGCCCTGCCAGTATCGCAATACTTCGGACTATGTCTGTCACTATGGTTCTTTTTTAAATAAATAATAATAATCCCAAATAGTGTATAGTTGTCAAAATTAAACTGTACAGAATATTTTCTTCAACACAATAATTGACATATAAAGTACTCACAAAGTACTCTAGATACATTCAAAATGCTATTTTAATGAACAAAGAAATCTGCAAAATCCTGAGTATAATGGAAGAGATATATTACGTACATTACATATAAGAATATATTGTAAGTACGTATATCTAGGGATATTTTTATCTGAGCTTTTTATGGGGTCCTAATGATCATCTTCCTGGTCACGAATCATCTGTCAATACCTAATCAGGGTGCTTGTAATAGTATCGAAATATCGGGAGTCCGTAAATAACATCGTTACAAGAAACGAACGGAGCAACGGCTTTATATCTCGTCTATTAAATACAGCCTAGACAGTCTGGAGGTTTAAGTACACGTCTTACTTCCGATGGTCGCAGATTCGATTCCTCGCACGATGCAAACATTTATATTCAATATTATGAATGTTTGTGTTGTTTTCTATGTACATTATGAAATGAGATGAAAAGAAAAAAAAAAAATTATTGTTCCTCTCACAAAAGGAAAATAACAATTACATAAATTAATAAGTATAAATGCAAACATTTATTTCCACGAGTATGACTGTTTGACTTGTTTTCTATATAAGTATGAAATGAAATGAAATTAAAAAACTCTATTATTCCTCTCACAAAAAGAAAATAACAATTACTTAAATTAATAAATATAACATATATAACACAAAATTTGACGGCCTCGGTGGTCTAGCTGTTTAACATACCGCCTTACTTCCGATGATCGTGGGTTCGATTTCTCGCACGGCACAAACATTTGTATTCACGAGTATGAGAGTTTCAAGAGTACGATGTTTGTATCAGACTGAGTGATTTCTATGTATAATTTCCGAAAACAAAAAAATAATTATATTATGTTTTTATAAAAGTAATCTAGTACCCATAACACAAACTTTAGCTAGCTTAACTTAGATCTAGATGAATGGATAGATAACAAATAGAAAAAATACATAATTACATCATATATCGATTTATATATCTAAATAACTCAAAGGTGACTGACTGACATAGTGATCTATCAACGCACAGCCCAAACCACTGGACGGATCGGGCTGAAATTTGGCATGCAGATAGATGTTAAGACGTAGGCATCCGCTAAGAAAGGATTTTGAATAATTCTACCCCCAAGGGAATAAAATAGGGGATGAAAGTTTGTATGAAACTTTGCCAATTTTAAACCGATCGGGCTGAGACTTTGCATGCATAAAGCTACTATGATGTGAAGGATTTTGATAAATTCCACCCCTAAGGGGATAAATTAACGCGAGCGAATCCGCGGACAAAAGCTAGTTAAAATATATATTGAAGTATTTCTATCAGTAGCATAGTACCCGTACCAACTCTACTTAGCTTAGTACACCATGGTGCTTTGTGAATTCTAAAAGAATAATCCGTAAAGAGATCCCTATATAGTTGCAAACTACTGTAAAAAAAACACATTTGCTTACTTTAATAGCATTCATTTGTTGCGTAGCAGCTGTGAGAGCGTCTCCAACGACGATAGCGAATTTGGACCATCCAAATGCCTTTAGCAGTGCCACTACTGACTTGCTGACTTTGTACGCCGGTGGTAGGGTCCTGGCGAAAGTCGCACCAAGACCTGCATTGCCCTCATGCGACGACCCACGAGCTCCGGTGCATTTCTGGAGACAATCAAAGAAAAAGTTATCAATCTACTTATAGTATTATCTAACTACTTTAAATCTTCATTATCTAGCGTAACGGTAATCATTTACCATCAGATGGGCCGTATGCTTGTTTGCCACCTTCGTAGTGTATATAAAAAATCTCCAAGATAACGTAACCTAATTAAATTTAAGTCAAAATGGTAATAAAACTATAACACATTGGTTTAAGATAACAATATATTGGAAAAAGTTTTGATGTGTCACACTTTTTCGTTCCAGTATGACGAAATGGCGACTATGGTACTTATACGAAACATTCGACACAAAAGAAAAACTGAATTTGGAAAAATATATACAAATTCCAGTTTCAAATTTCCATTATTTTTTATAATGGTTCAGTATCTTTAGGGTTTACTTAACTTTTAGTAAGTCTATTCCATTTTCAAATTTCCACTTTTTTTTTATTGGTTGAGTACCAATGTATTTTTAATTCTTTACCTAACTTATAGCTAAGTACACCCTTAATGTTTAACCCTGTATATACGAAAATATTTTCTTACTGTACTTCACAAACTTTGCTACAGTGACGTAGTGGGAAAGTTGCAGCTGGCGTATTTGTCCAGCTCATCTAAGTCCATTAATATTAGCAGTGACACGAAGTCATCCTGCCAAGGTTGTACAAGCTTAGAAAATTCAAAATTATTGTTCATTCAATAAACAACTATAAATATTAACATACATATATTGACGGGCATGGTGGTTTAGCGCCTTATTTTCTGTGGTCGCGGGTTTGATTCCTCGCACGATGAGTATTTGTATTTGTCTCGCTTGTTTTTTTTTCGGACTACTCTAATGCTGTTGGCCGCAGCTGGCCTTTACAGCTTCACCGGACGATAGGAGGCGAGTACAGATGACACTACAAATCCGCGGAAGGACTTATTTAGCGGCTGAAGGCCAACTCCATCCTGACGGATACGACTTTAGTCTGAGGGCACCTACAGGGGTCGAACCTCGGCTCAGACCGTCGTAAAATCGATCCCTGTTTGAATTGAACTGGGGATTGATCGGAGAATAGAATAGAATAGAATAGAAAATCATTTAATCAAATAAACTTAATTTAAGCACTTTTTAATAGTCAACATTTTTTTTAAATCTACCGCTTATTCGGAAAGCTGTCTCATCACAAGAAGAATAAGCAAGAAACTTGTGTGTTGCTCTTTTAAACAATCCTTGTAAGTTCACATTTTACAAGTCGAAACGTGTGAATACAAACTACCAACCAGCACTAATTTATGTAGGCTCAAATATAAAAACACAATAAGATTAAATCAGTCGTAGTGATAAGAGCAGATCAGTCCCTACAAGCAGCATTCGTTCACGAGTATGATGGATGAGCCAGCCATCACTGCGCTCGACCATATTTTAGGGAGCCCAATGACCCGGCCCACCACGCCGCCACATGTCTGGACATTTTAGTGAGCATGACTACTCATTCCACACGACCACGTCACAGCTACAAAAATTACTATATGGTAGTTACAGTATTCGCACTTTACATGAGGATGCATGCGGAAATCAATACAAAAGCCGCTACGCTATCATATATCAAGAAAGCAGTATGAAAAATAAATTATAACGTTGTCCGCAAATAAACTTATACTTGCTATATATTGCTATCATCTATAAATTCATCTATCCTATAATAGGCTTTTTTACATAACATTTGTTTAATATAAAGTTTGAATTGCCTCTCTGTCAGATTTAGCGTAGATTCTGGTAGTTTATTATGGAATCTTACGCAATTACCATAAAATGAAATGAGAGGTTGTACCTATGTATTTCGATAAAAATGTATTTATGTCTTAGTAGCCAAAACACAAGCACTGCTTAGGGTGGCACCACATAGTACAATGTGAATTGTCCAAGCTTGTTATTTAATATTTTCCTGGCATATATTCCTGACAGCCTCGGTGGTCTAGTGGTTTAGCACACCGCTTTACAATCCGATGGTCGTGGGTTCGACATTTGTATCTATGAGTATGATTGTTAGTATCGGTCTGGGTATTTTCTAAGTACAATATGTATTTATTTACAAAAAAAAAGTATCCATGTATTTATATCAGTTATCTAGTACCCATAACAAAACTCTGCTTAGCTTGGGACTAGATGGCGCTATGTGAATTGTCCTGAGATATTATAGTATTATTATTATTATGTTATGTACTATATTTAGATGTGTCAAAAGCAAACTGATTCGCGTTTCCTTAAAGCGTTCGAGTGGGTAGACACTGTAATTAGAATTACTTAATCTTTGGCGTTTTATAATTTGTATTCATTGTAAATAATTGGAATTATCGAAAATTCCTGTAAAAGTATTTTTTTATACAATAAACATCGTAATTAAAATTCGTTGATGAAGCGAAATATTTTGTACACAAAAATGAACATTTTCCGCATTTAAATTTTAATTAATTTACTGTAACTACCGTAAATTAATTAAAATTAAAATGCGAATGTTGTCGTTTAAACAACGACGAATTATATTAATTTAATTATAACTTAATTGCGTTTTAAGTTACAAAAAATCGAGTAAGTATTATAAGTCTATTACAAACTCTTATGTCAAATCTACCGTCATTTCGAAATGATTTTGAGATGGGAAGAACTGACGAGAAACTCAGCTCATATTCTTTTCAAACTTGCTTATCTGTTGTATGATTTATGTTAATACTAAGTACCTATATCATCACGACGAAATGTAAATATTTATGTTTATAATTGCGTTCACAATAACACTGACAGTCAATAATGGGTAGTCAGAAACCTCATCTGGGTCAGTTGTGATAACATATTTATTTTACTTGTAATGTAATATAGATTATTCTCCGCATTTTGCCTTTCATCTAGACTGTTATGCATGTAGAGCCGAGACTACTAAAGTAACCAGCTAAGCTCCTCCCACAATTGCTGGACCCTCCTGGAATCTTCATAAAATTCACGAAGCGACCTCACCGTTCCGAGGATATGTGTTCATTATGTGGCCACTGCTACGCACTCCAGGGTTATGTGAGCAGCCGTTACTTCAGCTTCAGAGCCCCGACAAATAGGACTGTAGCACCTGTTGTGTATAAAAACTTATCATAATACTTCATACATGAAAGTATTAAGTACTAGCCGTGCCCGCGGCCCATATGTAATTTTTTGAAAATAATATATTGGCGCTATTGCGCCAATATATTATTTAAAAAAAAAAATATTTAAAACCTCAAAAAAATTTTTAGTCTATGTGTTATCCTGATGTATAAGCTATATTAATGTAAAGTTTCATCAAAATTAGTTCAGTAGTTTTTGCGTGAAATAGTAACAAACATCCATACGTACAAACTTTCGTTTTTATAACATTAATAAGATTTTTATTTTTAACTAGTTAACAGACATTATCAGTTTATCACTATCTACACTATGAATATTGAATTCGCATTGGTAATTAATAAAAAAAAATTAGCGCTGTTTTCTTAAAGTTTTCTATCACAATAACCTTGTCCTGACAGTTCGAAACACAATAAAAAAGAATTAGCAAAATCTGTATAGCCGTTCACACGTGACGCTATGAGTATGTAATATTATGTTATCTGTGCTATGAGCAAGGGATAGAATGATTTATTTTTGACACTATTATGATATTTTTGAGCATTTTGATCTCACGGTACCTAGTCATTCAGTGATCTAATCTGAATTATATACTTAGTAGCTGTCCCCACGGTTTCACTCGCATGAAATTGATAGTATAAATGATATTTTGATATATACGCTATATTAGTATAAAGTTTCAACAAAATTCGTTCAGTAGTTTTTGCGTGAGGGAGTAACAAACATCCATCCATACTCACAAACTTTCGCGTTTATAATATTAATAAGATTATATTTATAATTAGCTACCCACCCCGGCGTTGCGTGGATGTACATGTGTTATATATACATATAAACCTTCCTCTTGAATCACTCTATATATTAAAAGAACCGCTTCAAAATCCATTGCGCAGTTTTAAAGATTTAAGCATACATATGGACAGACAGCGTAATGATGATACTGTTACTGTAACACCATCGCTCCTAAGAATATCCTTCAATTCTTGTCCCTGACGGGTCTAGGTAGCGAACTTTGAAAAAGGGCGAGCACAATAGATCTAAGTAACTCGCAGTGCTACAGGTGCTACAAACATCTGACAATAGTCCAAACAACCCAATATAGAATATAAAATACTGTTACTGTACTTTAAAATCAACTAAGCCACTAATATTAATTACTGTATAAATTTTAGCTTACCAGAACCACGACAAGATTTAGTCTCCATTTTCTTCCTAATATAATTCTCAGAACTTCGATCATTTAGTTAATCTGGAATTAGTTTTTTACAAGCTTTATTTATCATTATGCAAATTGTTTAATGTTTAGTTATTTTTTCTTTATAAATTATTCTTCGTGACCGTGTCTAATTCCACGAGTTATATTCCATTTTGGACCTAATGCGGTGGCATCGAGAGTAGATTTTCTTTTAATTTAAACTGCAGATGACTCGGCGCATTTAACGTTATTTGTAATGTCAAAGAATGAAATGCACAGAGTAATTATATATATCAAGTTTAGTTTAGGAAAGTAGTTTGGTCTGTTCTGGTTATGGCCACTGTTTAGGGTCTTCAACCCGCGCCCGTCAACAGCATAGGCCTACTTTCAATAACGACAACAATTAAGTAATAAAACTACTTGTTAAATCATCCTAATCATTACCAATAAAAAAAATCCTTATAAAAATACCTATGGTGTGACCCGCTGTATGCACAAAAAATCATTTTTGGACCTTGATTTGTAAAATGTTGATAACCGCTGGTATAGACTTTCCTTTATATCCTTTTGATAATATTGCAATAATAATTCTATTCTGCATAATTTTTAATTTAAAAATAGATCTAAATTTTATAAACATTTACAAGCACATTTAAAAAGAATAAGAGCT